AATTTGTTTGCGTTGTTGACGTTTTGTTTGGCTCATTTATTTCTAACAATCAGTGCATTTCATTGCAGAACTATTAGAAATTTCAACGCAAACCAATGAGAACTAAAATCTCAACATTCCATATTCAGTACTGCAATCGCTAAGATCTGTTTCTGCTGAATTGTATGCTAAAAAGTGTTTTTCAAGTCACTTGCTAAATTAACGTTCAGCAGAAGTCTCATTTTGTTCTCCGTTAAAATTACGTTGAATTGAGTGTAAGTGATCAGGAAAGCTGGAAAGTGGAGGTGGAAATGCGTTGAGATTGTGTCTGTTAAATTAATTTTAGCCAAAATTCAGTTATTCTGAAAGTTTCTTATTAGAGGATTTTGAGGCGTCGCGCAATCGTGCTCATTTTTGGAAACCATAATTAGCAAGATCATCCTTGAAGTGTCGTTGGAAAAAGTATTTGCTAATGACTGATGATAATTGAAATATGTGTGTTAAATTAAATTTCAGCGTTTTTGGTCTCAGCAATGGTCTCATTTTTGTTCAGATGGTATCTTCGTGTAATGAAAAAACGTCCAGTGCTCACCCAATGTGTCACTGCAGGTAAATCTATTGTCCAATAGCACACTCTTTCACAGCGTTCGACACCTACTAGACGTTCGAATTCGTTAGACTTAAATTTAAAAGAATCATTGAAATCGCCTCCTTTGTTGTAGAATTAGTTTGTAGTTCACGGTTATGTTTCATCATTTTAAAGGTGTTCTCGGTGTATGCGGCGATGGAATCAGTCAGAAAGTCGTCGAAAGACGCTCATGGGTAGAATACGATGTAGCTCGAGGTCTCAGATTCCTTGCGATCACAGGATTTTATTGTGTGCGTATTTCTTTCGAGTTATCTCTTCGCAAAGTATTTCGGAAATTAAATCAGGTTGCCTCATAAAGATGACTGCTTCCAAAAACATATCCCATGTAATTCATCGTAACCTATGTCGAAATCCCTCATCATTTAATCCGTCACCATCTTGAGAGACAAAATATGCGATTTTGTAGGCGCCCGTATTGGTCTGGTGGTTTCGGGTGCTAGAGCGCGTTCCGGGTCATCCAAAAACAGTACCACTGAAGAGACTGTTCCTTGATCAGGTTACAGCTTATCGCGTAATTTATTGTTCGAAATGAATAGAAGAATACATCACTTCTTTCACTGATCTGGAACATTTTTAATTATTGAAGCGTTACTGTTTCATTTGATCGTGAAGTTATCTACAGACCACAATGGCTCCAGTCTTCAATGCTTCGATTCTATTCAATCTTCGTTTAATGGAAGGCGAAAGTGCCAGTGAATCGTATTCTTCTCTGAAACGAGACTTCCTTGGTATTTGGATACCCAGTTTAATGGTATTTTAACTAAACACCTCATTTTTGTGCCCGTGCGATCAGTTGAACATCTGATAATGAAGAGGAACAAGTTCGAAATTTGTTTACGAAACAGTCGCAATTTTATGCCAAAAAAGATTAATTTTAAAAATTTCTCCTTCGGAATTTGGAAAGGTTTCTGTGGACGACATTATCTCTGTTGCCGTAATCTCCGTTACACTTCCCACTTATCGAATTATCCGTCATGAAGCGGTCTACGAAACTCAGTTAACTCTACGAGATTTCAGTATTGGCCGTTCATACAAATGGCGAATTTCTACATGGTGCCGCTTAATTACCGTGTTATTGTTGTGCAAGTTGCAGCTTTATTCTGGAATACATTCCTTTCGTATCGAATGCAATCTTCATCCAAATTATCGATGACGCCAGCTCTCGAGAAAGTTGTCCAATGAGTTTCAAATGAGTCTTTCTTGTTGATCACTGCTTGAGCTCAAATCCGCGAAAATAGTGCTTGGGACTCTCTTATTATTTATTGTCAGTTTTCGTCTGTATTCATGTATATAAATATATCATAAATTTGAATAAATAACCAGCTCGTTGTGTGATTATTGAGTCTTCGAAGAATCATTTTAAGTTCGGATCAGTTTGTTGTTTCCAACAAACTGATCCGAACCGAAAAGTCAACAGACAAATTCAACGTCAAACAAAAATTTCTCATTACCCATTAACAACAACAGAATATATGACCATTTCTCGAATAAGCCTACCGATATTTTGAGCGTTCAAAAGAAGTATGTACTTATCTGAATTCACTATCAAATAGTTGGAAGGGGCTAGTGGTAAAGTTTCGAAAACTCAAAAGAGTGACCTGAATTAAGTTCAGGCTTAGGTTTAGTTTTAGGCTAACGCATAGGCTCAGGTTGGTGTTATATGCTCAGACCGCAGATATTTCTTTCATTTAACGACATTCGACGCTATTGCTACTCGAGTTTCGACATTTTTCAGGGAACCTTTCGAACAAATTGTCATCTTGACAGGAGGCTGAATCGCTGCGACATAACGTAGTTTAACGTGGAGCTGGGAATCGGGAGATTTTGTTCGGTTAGAATCGATCGATTATCCTATCGTGGCCATCGATGAGGCAAATTTTGAGCATTTTGAATCGTCGAACCTCGGAGGCGACCGATTTTGATTTACCACCAACTAATGGCACGGAAGTTTTGTTCCAGCGGTTCGACCTGTAGACTTGACTTCCCGAAGTTCGGCCTCAGGTATATTTCACATCCGGAAATTTCGTCTGCAGAACATTACATCTATCATCAATGCTTGCACTATTCATAAAGGTAGGTATCAATTTGATTAGTGGCATCAGCCTGCACTTACGAAGCGACGGTAAAGGTCACAAATCGACGTGTGTAGCAGTGCATTGTGTCATCACTCATCAAGCAAAATACTTTAATTAAAACTTTGAGCCGATGTGAATGGGGAGAGGGGAAAACGAAAATTTCTCCCTTTCAAAATATTTGACATCAATCATCTCATGGAACTGATTGCATCAGATAATATATTCATCCAAAAAAAACAACTGATCACTGTAAACCATGAGAATAATGCAAGCCACAAATATTCATCAATCGCGACTCGCATTTGAAGATTTGTTGCAGATTTAAATAATAATGGAACTGTTCTTGAGCATTTAAGTGACATTCCGTACAATTTTCATTTCTGAGTTGCGCGTTGCTTGTTACAAATTGTGTTATTGATAGTGATTCGTGATTATCTCCATTGCGCTGTTTAATCTCTTCGTTAAGCTGCACTCATACTCCGTGTCGCTCGTCATGTTATCAGTTGCGCTCATTTCCAGTTCGTTTTTTATTCAAATAACCATTGTTGGCTTTTTGTCGTCGAATTTTCAATCCCTTTTCCGTAAATATCAGTTTGCAGTTTTAATTAAAGCCTGAGTGATGACACAGTGCACTGTTGTGCAACTAAATATGTGCCCTTTATCGTTGTTTCGTACGTGCTTGCTGATGTCACACATCAAATTAGTGCCTAACAGCACATACACATGCATTTTAAAATAAGTTTTGTAAGCATTGATTATGAATGCAAAATGTTTTGCGTGTGAAGAAGCTTCCGGGTGTCAAGCCTCCGTAAAACCAACGACGCAGTTCTGGTTTAAAGTTATCTTGCAAAACATCGAACTTCTGTCAAGATTTTTAATCGAACCAACTTGATGATGTCGCATATGATTCAATGTTAAGGTAACACTTGCAAGATGCTAATAGTAAATATTCTTTTGTGCATAATTGTTGTGATATATTTTCGTTGAAGTGATACGAATTCAGTGTTGATTTATTATTTGATTATGTATATTAAAGAGATTAATCAGCGTTTTACTGTATTGTCGTTTTCACACCGATCCCTAATTGGATGACATCTGGATGCAGTTGAAATATGATGCGTTCTCTTGTTGGTCATTTCAACAACTATCCATCAGTCTTTCAAACAATTGCGTTCATGCACCTCATCCAGTTGAGTTTTTAGCCCCACTTCTGGAATTGAGTAATTTCAAACCTATATTGAAGTACAGACTTAGATTTGTATTCAAACTTTGGTAGATCAAACTAAAACTGATGCGGGTGAATGTTTGAGTTTTACAGCTTGTCATCAGCCATCTTTTTCTTTTAAGCGTTGAAATCTTTGGAGAATGTTGAGAAATTGCTAACAAATGGGAGAAGAACATTCGAACATAATTTTTCAAATTCGATCGTCATCAGTCAACAAGTTGAATATAATGAGAGAAATAGATTGGTGATTGCGATAGGCTGCTCATTCTTAAGTCAATTTACGATCACTGGAGATTTCATTTGTTTGTCGCATTGCTCTTTTTTTGAGCCTCTCTCAAAAAACAAACCACTCATTCTGTTATAATGAAGAGAGCAAAAGATATTTCTATGCAATCTTTTGAGAGGAAAACGAAAATTTTTGTGTGACTTTAACAAAACAACCCCTTACGTTGAGTGATCCGAGGGTTTCAGGTCTACGAGAAATAGTCACATTATGGTTGCACGAATGAATATTCAGTGCATTTCAAATGCTATAAAACCACTGGCTGTTCAGTTCGCTTCATTTATAATTTACCTTCAAACCATCAGACGTTCCGAACAAGACGCTTGACGTTAAGCTGCTCATACAGGAACAAAAAACGGTCCGAATTAGACTTGCATTGCAATATGCCCAAGTCCGATAGTTGTTACCTGTTCAGCTACGCAATTTTGCCACCTCATTTTCCGTTATCTGTATTATGTTTCGCATCATCAGATTGATTCTTAATGAACAAATCAAAATAACTGCTGTGCAGTGATTGGTGTATGTTGTTAACAAATTAAAACTGTCACTGCAATGGCACATTCCCCGTTCAGTTTATGATTAAGAGCATAATAAGTGATTGTTTGTAACGTTGACGAGAATGAAGCAAAAGTGATGTTGTGACGTGTGTCTGAATCTTGGTTCGCAGATTGAATCATGATCATCATCATCGTCGTCTTCTATAGCACGACATCAACCACCGAGCACATTCCACCCCAGGGACTTGCTGCACTTAATTACTCTCCGTCCGTATATGCGCCTTTCTGCAATCTACTATTATAAAGAAAGGTTTAACAACACGACAAGAAACGAGTAACGTTCATGCATGTCATAATTTCATTCATTCATTCATTCACTCACATATCATGAAATGATTGTTCGTATTTTAATGTGATACATGTTACATCTCATTTCTGCACTGCGACATTCTGAACATATGGCATGAGACGAACATGAAGATGACATGGTGATTGCAAACCACTTGTTTCTTCATTTGAGCAATTGTTAATTACCTCCAAATTCTACATGAGCACAATCATCACCTCAATTTTCTTTTTGTTGTTTCGTTTATCTGATTAGCTGACATACGACTTATTATTGTTACACTTATGTTCCATGAGTATTACGCACAAGCCACTTCTATACTATGACCAGAAACTGATACGGACTTCGTTCAAATATGACGGGTCATCAGCTTTTTGGTGATGCTCTATTAGGTCACTGTTTTTTGAATTTGATTCTATACAAATGACGGAAATTCGTGTATTTGTTTAATCAAGCCGAATAGCATCAAGACATTCCAAAGCTACAAAAAAAGAAGAGGCGCTTATATGCATTAGAAATGAGGATGGAAAGTGTTAATTTTGGGTTTTGTGCGCATCATCGCGATTCTCAGCGGTGACACTGTGTTCATGGTGAGTTTCCGCTGATTAAATCCCGAATGTTCCCAACGGAAACGAATCGAATCCTTTGTTTATGCTTCCATTTAACTACAACTAACTAGTGCTTGCTCAAATGCAATAGTTTATGCGTATGTTCATATGGCAGAACGACAATAATGAAGATTGTCTTCGCATATAATGAGTCGAAATGATTTCAGTCACCTAAAATTGATTTATTGCAATTACTTTTCACTCGATTCTTACATGAAGCATTCACATACTCTCTACGACCAATAAACAGTTTACCACTGAAGCTGAAACGAAGACCTCGTTGAAATACGAAATTGTTACTATCATATAGCTGAAAATAGATTAACATTATTCTGAAATTGCTTTCTTATGGGCTAAATCAGCACAGCTCCTTACTGAACTACTCAAAAACATTGAATATAATCTATTCCTAACAAAGGCAACTCGATCAGTAAAGAATTAATTATGACAACTGGACGGAAAGTTGATTCAATCGGAATCCAATGGAGTCCATTTTCACGGTTTCAAAATTCGTTAGAATCCAATGGAATTAGATTTTTGGGATTCCGAACTTCGATAATTATCAAAAAATGAAAAACTGCTCAAATGAAGATTCGTTTGGTTAACATCCATCACTGTAACGGCTCAGATTTGTGTCGGTGAAATAATCAGTCAAATTAATCATGGTCACTTTCAACAATACTTGATTGCTGCAGATGAAATGCTTGTCATGTTTTCATTTGAACGTATGTGAATTGTTAATAAACGGGATTCGATTGATTGCGAAATAGAAGTGTTATGCAATGAAGATTAGTATTGGATTGGATGAAATCGAGCAATAAAGCATAAAGCAAAGTGGTGATTGGAAGTGGATGATGCATAAAGCGTGGATGATGCATAGCAAATGAACGAGATAGATGGATGGATGCGAAGCACTTCGAATTGATTCATTCATCGCACACATCATCAATCCATCCATCAAACGGAATGTGCAAATGAAATGAATTATCATCAATTGTCGTTACGTCACACCACCGATTTCCTAACTCTTTTCAATAAACTGATGAAGTCCACGTTTGCACGAATACATGATGAATGGATGGCTCATGCATGCATCTACTTCGCTATCGAAAGAACATTTATTTCATGACCCAACATTTTTTTTGATA